CAGCTTGCCAAGTTATATTAATCAGATTATGGGAAAGAAAAATAAAATCACAAGGAAAGAACTGGTAATGTTTAGCATTTTTTGATAGGAAAAAGTGTGAGGACTACAAGTACTGCCCAAGCAGTTTCTGCATTTAAGCTGCCTATAATGACACAGTTACTCCAGTGGGGTTGGGTTTTGGGGCTTTTGGAATTTTAATAGAGACATCAAGGTAAAACTAGGGAAAAAAAAAAAGAAAGTAACATCATTTTTTTAGATAGGATGGTTGTCATTTATGCTGTTAAATAGAAATATTCGCAGTTGAAGTCACAATAGTTTTCAAAATGATTACATCCTCAAACCCCTTCTTATGCCACTGTAAACTCCTAAATTTAGCTCCACAGATTTCCTTTAAGAAATATTTATTTTATCCCAGGGCCAAACCCAATAAAATCAAAGTGGGTGATAAAAAAGGCAGTGATTTCACTGATATATAAATGTGTGCATTTTTTGTCCTTGTGGTCACCCTGACAAATAAACTCTTGATCTCCCCAGCAGCTGCCTGGGAGCAGCATCATGTCTGTGCTGCACACAACAACTTCTGGAGATGTTTTTAGGCGCTGCTATATAAAGCTTTGAACATTCTGGTACAGTCATCATCCAAGTGAGTCAGCTGAGCCTGAATCACTCTGATACGTGGGATTGAAGTGAATGGATCTGTCTTTTGAGATTGGGATGTTCTGGCATTGCTGCATTTACACCTGTTTGGGTGGTGCTGGTGGAGGTGAGATTTCAGTCTTCAGCCATAAGTCAAAATAAACAAGTTTTATAACCTATTTAACTTTTTTCTGTTCCTTGATAGAAATAGGATTTAAACAAAACAAAAAAAATGTTCTGTTCATGTGTGTGTGTGTGTGTGTGGGGTGATTAACATAATGACAGCCCATGGGAATTTTATGTACATTTGCATGCACAAGTTTTTCCCTCTGTAAATCCAGAAACACAGAGCTGTTCTGACTTGAGGTGGCTTCTCCTAGACTGTTAATCACACTCCCTCTCCACCTACAGGACTTGGACAGATTGGCACAGCACCACCTAAATTAACTTTACGCTAACAAGGAATTTCTCCAATGGAAGCATCCCTTGTTTCACTGTTGGGATAAACCCACAATCCTATTGTGCCTCTTCCCAGTCATAAAGGGGAAAAATTGCATGGATCCATGCACAGCTTTTGCAAATAGCACTACATACATCTGATAGAAAGACATCTACTCATACAGTGTATAATTATTCTTTCAGCAGTCCTCCGGATTTGTTTCCTCTCATACATTTTATTCTCATTTTGTCGTACATTCTTCATCACGGTTATTAGGCTTTAAGATACCCTTGACAAATATATAAAGGGCAATATTCCTCACTGGCAGCAAATTATGTTTGGGGTTTTTTGAGTTAGTAGGTAATGTACCAGTAAAAGAATAATTAATTCCTGAAGGACTGAGCACAAAAACAAGCATACGTTTGTCTGAGAAAGTGAGAAGTTTGACTAAACAGAAAGTTTATGAATTATCATGCTGTCATCCAACTGGATCAGTAGCCTTTTTCATGTTGTTTACTAAATGCCAGGCAAATTAGGACAGCAATGAATCACATGGTTCCAGAATTAACTGACAGCTTTTGGAGAATTTTTTTTTTTCCCATGAATTAAGGCTTTTGGTAATGAGGAGGTACAATAACCAGAATGCAAAATGCCTTGAATTCACAGCTTCCATTGGCTTTTTATACCCTGTGTCTCGTGTCTTTAAAGACATTTCCTGTGACTGGATGTGAATCAGCACATACTCAAAGTGGACTAGGTTAAAGTCATGCAGAACAGAGGAACGTCTTCTAAAACTTACCTGAGGAGATTCTTAAATATTGAGCACCAATTTTAGAACAAAATTAGTGAAATGTGTCTAGAAAGTTTATTATACCAGCTATAGGGAGCCCAGTTCAAAGATATTACTAAATAGCACACACTACCCTATGATCTGGGGAAAATGTGTTTCTTTAAGGCATGGTCCAACAAAGCATGACAAAGAAAAAAAAAAACAAAAACAAAACCAAGTTTTTATATTTGAGAATATATGGATAGTTTCTCAACTTAATGTCCTTATATATTGTTTCATGGCAAAAATCTTATTGTAATACGAAGCAGAGGCTGTCAAAGGAAAATAAAGGAAAATACATTTCTGTGGTACTTTTTGCTCAGCTAGCAACAGATAGCGCTGAAAAGTCTGATCTCTGAAGTGGTTCTTATGTCATTTTTACCTTTGTGGGGTGGGTGCATTGAAGATGAGGTTTAGTCTTGTATTTCAGGATGGCAGAACTCCACAAGCAGGCACTGAAAGTCTGTGAACATTATTTGTTTATGGGCCCAAGAAAGATAGGGGATGAGGAGACCCAAGGAGATGCACCTTGCCCACTTCCCTCTGCCATGGGAATCAAGCACTTTGAAAGACAGTCAGGATGAAGGAAGTCATAGAACTTAAATATCTGAATATCTGAAGTCACTGTCTCCCATGCATTTTCAAATTTTCTCTGCTAAATGTATTTACCACTAATTCAGGGAATCATTTTCCCCACTGAACTTGGAAAATAACTCTTCATCAGTCATATTGACTTCTGTTTTGAAAACAAAACCAAGCAAGCTGGTGCTTTTGGCTTCTTTGCAGAGCATATCTGTAAGTTTTCTGTCCTTGTTCTTTGATCTGTCTCCATTTGTGGCCATTTTTCACTGTGACATTACCCCCTACCCCCCATTAGAAGAAGCACTCCAGTTGTCTTCCACTGTTGGCTAAAACACCAATTACTTCAGCCTTGTCCTCATTATTCATGATTAATTTCTTTTTTTGTGTTATTCATCTAGTTTATTTCTAAACACTCTTGTTTTGTTAAATTTCTCACAACTTGCTCATTTCATTTTGCACCCGGTTTCATGTCTGTTTTCCTGCTTCTTCCACATTGATATCTTCCATGATTTATGCTTACAGTAACCTCTTGTTTACATGCTTTAGTGATGTGTGATATCTCAGACTGTTAAAAAGTCAACTTCATTAGTTTATTACATGTGCCCTATTTTTTCTCTGCAGTGGGATAAACTATTATTTTCCTTTCAATACAAGGTTTTGAGGGAACAGACTTCCCACACTCATTTTGTCCCTTCGATTATCTCCTCAACAGGCTCTATCTACCACTTCTTTGAGGTTGAAGTCTCATCTTTTCAGCCATTTTGCTGCATTCACCTCTTTCTTTCTGGGAAAAGCAAGTGCTCATCATGTTCCAGCAACTGATCACCCAATTTTCCTTCTTTTACTTTCGATTAAAGCAGCATCTCTGTAAGTGTAGCAGCAGATTACATGCACTAGCCCATGTGTTAGAGCTGAAACTTAGAAGAGAGTTCTGCCATTTCAGACCTTTCTGTTGGTGCTGGACACATGAACAGTGAAAATGAACACTCCACAGGAAAGAAAATGAGGCCCTAAACCACACTTAGGAGGTGAGACAAGGCATTAAAAACATCAGTACAATCATAACAATGACATGGTTATGACCACACAACCAGCAGAAGAAAACAATTCATGAAGGGCAGCAAACTTCAGCACAGCACACCAAGAGCATCGTCCTTCCAGGATGTGAAACCCTCTGGAACTTACACAAACCACTCTTTATAAAGACATGGCAATTCCTGTCATTCTGTTCCTTTTCAGGAAATGTTCCTCTTGCAACCTCTTAGACCCATGAAATGGGCTGTTTCTATGGCCTTTTCCTCCTTCTGAAGGAAAAGGACTACTACAACACTTCCTCTCTTTAAATATAATTCCTCTCATTAAAATAATAGCAATTTCACATGAAAAGTAATATTAAAGATTAAAAACTGTAATTTTAGGTTTGAGGTCAGTTTATCGCTTGAAGGCCACATTATTAAAATATCTGTGCCCTGTGGAGGAAGAATTTAGGTGTTCTGATACTATCACAATCTTTATTCTTCCAAGTCAGGCAGCTCACTACAACTGACTAATAACAACACTTCCAGAAAGAAAAGATTTTCTTTTCTTTCTGGAAAAAAGAATAACTTTTTTAACTTTCTTAACTTTGCTGGCCTAACTGCACCTCACCATGTCAATACTTGCAGAAGGCAAAAGAATATTTCCTCTCTTCTTTTGCACTGAAAGCTTTCAAGAGACCACATAGGAACCTTCTGCCATTTCATTTACCACGAGAGATTTGTAGCTACCCAGAAGATTATAATCTACAAAACCTTCTGCACACATCTTCCCTATTTAACAGTTATCTGATCAGCCACTGAATAAAAGAGTAAAATAACCTTGATATTTTGCTCATAAAGAAATGAAGCATTACTAGAAACATTTGAAAAACTACAGCAGAAAAATCCCCAACAGATGGGGGTCAGAGAGGGGAGAGAGAACTTTTAGCTCATTTACTCCAGCTCTGGTGAGATAACAACACTCCTAAATTAGGAATGCCTTAAACTGTAAAAAGCTAACAAGGGTGATGCAATGCAATGCCTCCTTGTTATCAAGCAAGATTTCATCAACAGAAATTCCAGTACTGAGACACCTAGCCTGTTTTAAATGGTAGCACCCAAAATAACCAGTCTTAAAAGGTCATGTTTATTTAAAAATAACTTGCTTGCATTTTACATTGAAGTTAATTTACTAACCTTAAAAAATTAAATGCAAATGTATACAAATAATTTAAGCATCCTGTCAAAGTTCACATACACTCTTCTAGAGCAATGACAACATTCAAGGTCATACAAAATCTTTCTTAACCCACGGATCACCCTGTGGATTAGTCTGTTAAATATATACTGAACTGAAAGGTTTGTACTTTAGCAATTTCTATCCTTGTTAAAAGAAAAAAAAAAAAAAAAAAAAAAAAAAAAAAAGAAATCCAAATCAAAGCTCTAATTCCCTGTTTATCATGCTCTTCCCAGGCCATAACAAAGAAGGATACTGTACCTCTGATGCTGGTGGCTGTTGCAGATGTGGTTGTGCTGGCTGTTAAGGCTACATTGGTTGTGACTGTTGCAGTGGTAAGGGAGGGGATGACAGTAGTGGGAAGCAAAGTGCTCAAAACATCTGGTGAGTGGAAAAAAAACAAAACAAAACAAAACAAAATCATATCATGCAAACAAAGGAGAACCATAACAGTGGTTTAATTTGTAAATACAAGCATGTTGAAAATGGCTAAATTAAAACGTGATTAACATAAATTATTACAGGTACAACGGAGTACCTTTAAATTCTTGACATTTATCACTCTCAATTTGTATATCTTTGAGTACACAGAATTTAAAACTCTGTTAAAATGACCACATTTCCACAGAACAGAGAGAGTGACAGTTTAAGTGACAAGAATGCATTTCTTGGCTGAGCCATTTTAAATGTCTCACGTAGTAGAAACCAGATACAGATGAAACATGCTGTGTCAGAGTGGGAGATGAAAAAAAACACCATCATGCTAAAATAAACACACACATGTTAACGAGAAATGGCTGTATGTTAAAACACCCACTTTTAGACAGACTCAATGAAGGGAAAAAGGGGAGAAAATGCTACTAACTATAAGAGCTGCTTTTTCCGGATTGCTTTTCTTCTTCCCACACATTTGCTTAAGACACAGTTGTCTGCTAAGATCCAGAGCAGAGTATATTTCAAAATCTTTGCCCTAATCAGCAGGAACAGTCATCTTTCAGTCATCCTTAATGCTTACAATTTGTTTGTTAGTACACATCAGCATTTTTTTATAACACCTTCAAACTAAAAATCAGAAATTATAATAATATTACTGATAAAAAAGCATACATGCAAATCAGAAAGAAAATCATACCAAAAATGATGACAGCATCCTATAAAAAAAAACAAACCAAACTATCAGGTTTTGCTCAAGCAAGTGCAGGTATGCCAGGATTAGGAGCTTGACTGCTTCTCTGCAGGGGAACCAACAGCACCTGGTGCAGAATGCACCAGTACAGAGCAGAACACATCCAGATGTACACACAGAAAATACTTTGTTAACATTTCCAAAAGCAATAAAGACCAATGGGACTTCGCTTATAACGTGATTGCAGGTTTTAAAGAACAAACAGACAAAAGCTCTGAAGAGAACTGGAGAAAAGCACTTCTAAGAAGACATAAAAAGCACCTGATTTTCAGCATTTTTCAGATTATTTTTATTGCAGGTTTGAAAGGGAAGGACTCGTTTCTCAGCAGTTGATGGTGAGTAACCCATTCCATACTGATCTCACTCAAAATATTTCTGAAGGGTGCTCTTCAGTGTGGTGAAAGAGCAAAAATCTGACCCACAATCTGTCTTCCCTTGCTGTGGAAAGAAATGCAATTGGTCCCTGGGTACCATCAGTTCTGACTGGAATCAATGGAAGCCCAAGTTGCTCAGAGCTTTTCAGTATTGGGCCCTACAGAACACACTTCAGACACTGGGTCCTTGAGTTCAGCATTGTTTAATTACTCTCTTATGGCTTCAAGGTAGCATGCTTACCTTATTTCCATGCTGGACGAGGGATAATTTTCAAAGCTCAAAAGTCTCCTTGCCAGTTAAATACTATTTTCTGTATTCCTCTGGTTTTGATAAAAAAAACCACTATACTCTCTGGAATCTATACTTGTGTGATGTTCTACCTCTGAAGTCATCAGAAAACAGTGTAAGACCCATCTTTCATCTGTACACTGATTTTTAATCTAATGAACACTGATATTTAATCTAATTCCCAGTATAAAATATCCTCAAGACAGAAAAATTAGAACAGGCTTTAAGAACCCTCACAGTTGTAGCCATATTAATCACCAGGAATAATGATAATATTACCTGGAGTGTGAGTACCACAATAATGAAATAGAACTGGGTATAACAAGAATTAAAACTAAATTAACATGTTAAAAAGATACATGTCACATGGACTGATCTATGCAATTTCTTCTCATAAAGGGAAACTCCTTTCCTGATAAGTATCTGTTAAAAATTAAATCAAAGAGAAAAAAAAAAACCACCTACTTCATAAGGAGAGCAAAACCTTGTTTATTAGGGAAGCTTTATACATCACTCTTGTACGTAAAACTAATTAGTGTGACTCATGGTTCCATTCATTATCTTTCTTAAATACCAATTACTTAAGACTGGAGTGACAAGTTACGGTTTTTTGACAGTGCTATCCAATCTGCAAGCAAGCTGTTTACCTATTTTACCAAATAATAGCTTACATGAGTCACTGGTGAACTTAGAACTTTCTGGTTTCTCTTCTGATTGAAGCATTTCAAACAAGATTTCTTATTTTAAATGAAAGGCTACCTAGGAAGCATTCTAGCTAACATGCACTAGGATATGTCAGTGTTTTAATACAGAAGTGATCTCATCAGATTAAGAATAATGAAAACTTGTGCAGAAATTAGTTTCCTGACGGAAATCATAAACTCTGATGCCAAGCATCAAAATGGAAACCTGGCAGAAGCCTCAAAGAAAAACATATTCTCAAAAAGGATGCAAGAACAAGGAATAGCACTCAGTTTCTTTCTTTCCAGAGTGAGGTGAAATTCACCATGCAAACGATTGCATTCGATTGCTTCGCTCACAGCATTACAAGGATTTGCTCCTAAAGACCCCAGAATGAGAGAGAAACCAGGAATCAGCAGCCTGAGGAGCCTCACATTGCCCAGGCAATCTTCAAAATGTTAAAAACCAGCTTAGGTTTGAGGCTCTGCCCAGTGGAATTACTTCATTAACAACATGAGCCTGCCATAGGAACGTGCAAAGTACCAAATAGCTCAGAGCTCTGCAGACAACACATTTTGGAATGCCTGGACCATAGCTCATCCTTAAATCCTACTCTGGACAGCCCAGATGCAAACACAGCATTCTGAAATGATCCCCACATGGAAAAGACTTGTGTGTATGGTGCTGAGTCTGTCAGAAAGGCTCCTATCAGCTCTTCCAAGATTTATGGATTCTCATGAAAACATTGCCTTGAAAAGGGTTTTGCATTAGAGAACACAGAATATGCAGCTCAAGAAATAAACTAGAAGTAATGTCCAGTGCTCCTCAGTCTCTCATCATGCAGTGCAGGTGTAGGAGGTAAATGGGTTTGGAGTTGCCCAAAAGCATATGGACCACAGATAAAAAAATGATATTTAACAGCAAAGACTTCTGTTTAAGCCTTATGGGTCACTGTGCTTCATAGAAGATATGCTGCTCCATTTCATGCCAGAAAAGGGAGTTACAATTCGACCTGCTTCTTCTAGTCCTGCAGGACTTTTGGTCATTTTTTTTTAATGAAATCAAACCTATCTTATTTCACTAGCGAGGCACACGTTGTCATCCAGAGCTCCCTGCTGGCAGCTGCTCAGAACATGCTATCAAAGGGACTACGTAGATTTGTCCTCTTGAGCTTTCTGTCAGGGAGGATCTTAACAGAATGGATTTGCAGATTTCTGCCCAAGAAATCTGTGCTGGAGTGAAACTAAATTCCACTTCCTTGTCTTGCACTTTCTGAATCTAGTTGTACACAATGTTCAGCTGAAAATGAATTTTTGTTTATGCCTCTCATGCCACTAAATACCAAGGATCATTATGACCAAGCGACCTTGCAGAGCAGAACTTTTTAATTCAAGTAGCCATACCCAAATCGCTGCACCAGATTGCTATTTCAATAATACTAAGGTATTAATCCTTAGCCTCCTGTGAAGCAGAAAATAGCTATATTTTGCAGATGGGGAACCAAAGAAGATAGAAAAGCCATGCTCAGGGGATCTAGAAGTCAAGCAATAACTGCCTCCATTAATTTTGAAACCTCACTTTTAAACTGGATGTTTGTTGACAGACAGATATTCAGTCAAAAATCCAATAATGCAATTAAGTTGGTATTAACTTCATCATCTAGCTAGCTTTGAAATGCAAACAACTCATGGAGAACTAATTGTTTCCATAAAAGCTGTTGGAAATAGGAAATGGGTTGACCTTCATGCCAAGGGACTCCCATGGACTGACTCTTTGTCACTTCTGTTCCAGAGGTTACGCAGGTGAGGCTTGAACTGGACGTTCAGTAGGAGGGATGGGCTCCTGAGCCCTCTCCAGGGGCACAGGGAGGTTTGAGCTGAGCTGAAAACGCTCAGCCAAGAGCCCTCATTTCAGGGAGGACCTGAGATGCTGCCAGAGCTCGGTGCTGCAGAGAGGGGACGGAGGAAGGTTCTGGAAAGGTGTTCCTCGTGCTGCTGCTGCCTGTTAACATGCCTCAAGCAGGACCTGGGGAGAGCAGCCAGCAGGAAACCTGAGGGCTGATTCCCAGTGGATGGTGGAAAAAGAGGAAGAGGAAAACTGGGCTTGGAGTGGAAGCTGCTCTTTAGCAGAGGCAGAGACACAAACTGCTTTGGAGTGGCAGAGCAGTGTCGAGCCCCACCCGCCCAGAATCTCCTGTTTGCTTCTCCTTCTTTCTTGAATTGATGCCGTCTTCTCCTTGCTAAGGCAGAAGACATCCATCCATTTAAGTGCAGGGAGCCTGGGTAATTTACTCTCCCTGCCAATTTGGCCCTGAGCATTTTTACTCTCCATTTCCAAAGAAATGAGAAATGGTTCTGTTTGGTTTAGCGGGCTTATGTGAAAGATAGATCTGACCTATTGAAAATATTTGACTTTTTTGGTAAAAACATAACTGATATTTTGACATGACTGAGCACAAATCAGACAACAATAGCTGCAGTTGATAAAAATGTAAAGGCTTTTGTTTCAAGCCTGACAAAAGCTGACAGAAAAATTAAAGGACAGAGTGATAATGATGGATGGTCCTTGCTGTATTTTGACTGAGAATGAAAGAAATTTTAAGTGGTAAACTGAACTGAGTGATGACCTACCTGGGAAACAATCTCAGTACTCTGTGAAAAATTTAATCAGTCTGTGGTATGTAGCACTAAATAATTTAGCAAGGTTTTAAATTCAAAGGGAGCTGCATTTACCTTGCACCAAGAAAATGGGATTGAACAAAAGGATCGCTCAGCTTGAACATCATGTGCCAATAGCTCCTTAGCACTTAGACTGAATGATCATGAATGCTCATGGACACGAGGTCAAGGGG